TGCGCATGAGCTTGAACAAGGGAAGCATGTACTGGGCAAACTTTGCCACGAATCGAGAGAGAGAAGTGAGCATTCCGTTCAATATCTAGATGGACTTTTTCGAGATGTGCGTTGGAAATTTGGAAAATGCTCGACATTTGTTGGGGTTTGCCTCAATTCCTCATTCAGTTAGGTAGAATCCGAGGAATTTTCCTGCCTGTACGCCGAAGGTACATTTTTCTGGGTTGAATCGCATCCTACACTTTTGAGCTTGCTCGAACACTTTCTTCAAGTTGGTGGCATGGTCGAGCTCTTCGGTGGACTTAACGATCATGTCGTCCATATAGACTTAGAGCATGTCTCCTATCTCTTTGCGAAAAACTTTGTTCATCATGCGCTAGTATGTAGCGCCCGCATTTTTTAGGCCGAAGGGCATTACATTGTAGTAATAGTTGCCCGACTCGGTCATGAAAGTGATATATTTTTTATTTGTTTTCGCCATGGGGATCTGGTTATAACCAGAGTACGCGTACATGAATGATAAAAATTTAAAATCGACCGAGTTGTCGACCAGTTTGTCAATATTGGGGAGGGGATAAGCATCTTTCGGGCAAGCCTGATTGAGATCAATATAGTCAATACACATGCGTCATTTTCCATTAGATTTTTTACAAGAACTACATTTGAGAGCCAGGTTGTGTACTGGGCTTCAGAAATAAAATGTGCCTCTAGGAGGTCTTTTACAGCTAGTTCTGCATCCTTCGCTTTCTCGAACAACTGCTTTCTCCTACGCTGTGCGACCGCCTTGATGGCAGGATCAATGGTCAAGTGATGGCATGCGACCTCTGGATCTAAACTGGGCATCTTGACTGCACTCCAGATGAACATACCATCATTCTCCCTTAGGCAAGCCTTGAGTTGCCTTTTCGCCAGGTCAGGAAGGTCTACTCCGATCTTTACTCCTCTTGTGGGGTCTTCTCCAAGGGGAATTAGCTTAAAGTCGCCATCTGGGATGGGCCATGCGTGACTCGAGAGTTTGTTGCAATCAGCAGAGGAGGTCGACCCTTCGTCTTTGACCATAGGCCCATTCCCTTTCTTCCTTTGCTCGACACGATCTTCCATGGAGAAACGACTGTTGAGGTCAATGGTGTAAACCCTCGGCAACGACTTGACTTCCTCGGAGCTGGAGGGCAGTGAGGATCCAATGGTCGTTCTAGGTTAGGCACTGATGGAACTAAGGCCTTTGGCTGAAGCTCTGAAGCACCTTCTGTCTGCTTGGATGTCCCCGTGGAGGGTGGCGACCAAGCCTTCAACGGTGTAGTACTTCATCTTGAGATGAACGGTAGAAGGGACCGCGATGAGTTCGGAGAGAGTGGGTCTCCTGAAGATGCACTGATAGAGAGACGGACAATCTACCACTAAAAATTGGGTCTTGATGGCTTGGGTCGTCGCCCCTCTATCGAATGTGACGATCAGCTTTATATATCCCCATGGTTTTATGCTGGCTCCATTGAAGTCCTGGAGATCAAATCCCACGTAGGGGGTTAGGTGGCTCTCATTCAGCTGCAAGGTGCTGAACAGTTGGGCGTACATGATGTCCACCGAACTGCCTTGTTCGACCAAAATGCGACTCACGTCAAAATTAGCCATTCAAGCTCTCACAAGTAGTGGGATGATCGAATTTGGGGCCCCGCCCGACAATTCTTCCCTATAGAAGGCGAGGGGATGAGAGCTTCCTCATAATTTATCAAGCGTGGCGTCCATATCTGAGTTGGCTTCAATAAGTTAGTCGAATCTACTTTTCACCGATCCAACTGTGTGCCTGTTGAACCCTCCGCTGGAGATGACCATGGCCACGAGGAAGGATTCCCAAGGACAGTGGGAGGAGAAGTACATGGGGACGTTCTCCATGTCCAGATAATAGAAGTCTTCTGGCTGTGAGATGCTCATGGCGACCAGAATGGGGTCGAGGTCGGGGGATTTCTTCCCTTCCTCGACATTTTTGGTTTTTGGTGCTTTATCACGGGTACCCTCCTTCTTTTTATATTGCTTAAGGTGTCCGTCTCTGATCAGTATTTCGATTGCATCCTTGAGATGAATGCAATCCTCCGTGTTGTGCCCATGACTCTTGTGGAACCTGCAATACTTGCTCTTATCGATTCCTGGCTTGGACTGTGTTTATCAGGGGAAGTGCACCCCGACTTGCTTGAATTCAGAATTGGCGCATTCAGAAAGAATACGTTCCCTTAAGGTTGTTAGAGGGGTGTAGTTGTGGAAACGATCGGCTGATCCCTTGTAGTCTTTTGAATCATGGGACTTGTCCTCTCGTTTCTTCTCTCCCCGATGGGAAGTCGAGGGCTCGTCGTTCTTTGAGGACTTGGCACTCTCTCTATGCCTAGATTCCCTAGCTCTATTGGCTTCTTCCTTCTCCTCGTAATGAATGTACACCTGGGCCTCGAGGAGGAGGGAGTCGAGCGTGGTCGGCGTCTCTATGCCTACAGCTTTGGCAAAGTCATTACGGGGGCGGAGTCCACACTCGAGGAGGTACTTCTTCATGTTGTCCATTGTTGGGACTTGGACCGCTTCCTTGTTGAAGCATTCAATATATGACCGCAGAGACTCATCCCTACCCTGTATGATTGCTTCGAGCGAAGCCTCTGATTTCGGGTGTCGACGAGAGGCGGTGAAATGCCTTGAAAATATCCTCCCGAGTTGTTTTCATGAGGTGATGGATTCATCGGGGAGGCTCTTGTACCACGCCATCGCCCCCTTCCTGAGAGTGATTGGGAAAAGTATGCATTTGATGGCTCCCCTGACCCCTCGGTAGTCGAGGAGAGCGCCGATGTTCTCGATGTGCTCGTCAAGGTCTGTTGTTCCGTCGTAGGTTCTCAAGGTAGACGGCTTCTCCAGGCCGACAGGGAGTGGAGCCTCGGTAATCCCCCTCGATAGCGGGCCACGGGGCTCGTCATCCTCACTATCTGCGGGGGATGGAGAAGGAGAGTGATTGTTTCTTCCCCGTCGATCGTCACGGTATCGTCGGGGGAATGGGCTCCTCCATTTCTGCTTTAGCTTGGGAGAAGGCAGTCGAGCGCAATTGATTTGCCTGTTGTATTTCCTCTTCTTGAATGAAGGGGAATCTTGATCTCTGGCAGGAGGTGTTCGGTTGCGTTTCTTGAAGAAAGAAACGTTGCGCCTCTCCTTTCTGGGTGGTGGGCCATGCCTGGGTGGCGATGCATTGGGAGAGATTTGTCGTCGGGTTCTCTGTGGAGGAGATCTTGATCGCCTGTTCTCCCAGGCCCATATCCTTTGATTTTGTTGTAGGACGAGGGTGTTGGTCTGATTGATAGCAGCGAGCAGTGCTGCCATGGCTGGGTTGGTGTTGAGAGGGATGGGAACTGGTTGCATGACTTCTGGCAGTTCCTCGGTGAGATTCTTGGGGTGTCCCTTGTCCAAGAATTGGTCGTCACCGCACCGGGCATCAGTGGAATCCAGAGACGTAGTCTGTCTGTCCCGGAAGCCCAGGTTGTCCTTGAGGTGAGAATGTTCCTGACTTTTGTCGGTTTTGCGAGCAGGGGAAAGAATGGTCTTTTCGGACATGTGAAGATCATCATGGCCGACCATGACTAGGGAGAGGAATCTTGAGAAAGTTGCTTTGATCTTAAGTTTCGAGGAAAGAAAGACGGGGATACAGTTTCCCACAGACGACGCCACTGATCTTACCGGTTGATCAGAACCTGAAAAATGGCCGAAAGATGATCTGTAGTCGGACTGTGAAGTCGAGGAGAAATGAGGGTTGTACCTGCAAGGCACTTCAACGATCAAGTAAGAGCGGGAACAAGAAGGTACAAGCAGAGTATAAGGTGGTGAATAGTGAATATTCGATATCTGGCCCTCACAGGTGTGAGGGTATATATAATGCCCTTGACGCGTAGCTATTGGTTCCTGATTTCACGCCTAGATATGCGGGTTCGTAAAATCAGGTAACTGTCAGTACTTGGTCAAATCGGGCAGATGTGCTCGTAACTAGCCGTTGGTCTCGAGGAGGGGGTTAGTTACGGGCATCTCTCTGGTCGGTTCCTGGTGGCCTGCACAACGTTGATGTCATGCAGGCTGAGAGGATACTCGTCGATTATCCTGAGTCAGTACTGGTTCGGGAGGGCAAACAACTGACATTTCCAGACAGTTAGCGGACAATCCGGGTCATGGTCGTGCGAGCCGTACCAAAGGAAATGGCTTAGACTGGGACCATTCTAGCTGTCGAGCCAGTCCAGAATAGAAATTGTGAAACAATTCTAGGAAATCACGTGATGTCCTATTAAATGAAAGAAGTAGGCATTATCAATGGTCCATATTTCTTCATAAGAAACACTGGAGTACTCTAATTCTCAAAGGCCATCATGATAAAGCAAGTGAAAATCAATATTAAGAATGTATAATATATGTTATCCTTGTTAAGAATGTAAGTGATCTCAATCTAAGATCCATTATATGGATTTTCGCATTTCACACCTATCGACCAACAAACTCTGATAACTGCACTACAATATAAGAGAGAGACGTGTAATTTATTATTTTTTTCACAACTATACTCCTATTTATTAGCTTTAACGATTTTCAATTATTCTATTAATTATAATAAATAAGAGTGTTTTAGTAAATACTATTAATTTTATCATTAAAATTAACACATCAAGAATCGGACAAAATTCAAATGAGACAACTAATATGAGACGGTGGGAGTAATCGATTAAAAACCAAATCCCTCTTATAAATCCAAAAGAGAACCCTAAATAGTTATCAATTACTTGTTTAGAAGTCAATACTCCTTCGCGCCACACTCTCTTATTTCTTCCTTCTCCTTCACCACGCCATCTAGGCTTCCGGCCACCCCTTCCGCTAGCACCCACCACGTGAGTTGGTTTTACCAGTTTCGTTTCTTAATGATTCTTCCTTTTCCCCTTATGATCTAGGTTTTCTGATTTTCAAATGTTTTGCTATTTAGGTTTTGAATAATCAAATTAATGGCTTTGGGAACAATCACTAAAAGGCTTGGGAATAAAATTTTCCCAACGTTATCTTCCACTTCCAGGCTACTACATTCTCATGCCACCAGTTTCGGTTTGTTGCATTCAATTTTTCATTTTTCTCTTGTTCAGCGTTCAGAAATTGCTTTGATTAATATTTTCAATAACAATTAGGTTTCAAACATGTAAACGAAGAAGAAAAGGCGCGCATGGTAGGTGATGTGTTTACGAGCGTTGCTGCGAATTACGATACCATGAATGATCTAATGAGTGCTGGATTGCATAGATTATGGAAAGAAAGGTTGCATATATTATTACATTGTCCATTCTATGTAATATTTTTTATTTTTGTCCTTTCTGTTTACATTTATTGGATTTAATTTACGTAGTACCGGCACTTCAGATTGAATGCATGTTAGTGGTAGACACCTAGACGACATTGACTCCTGTCGTTTTCGTCCAATCACTTATTTTAAATTATCACAGGTGTCTACGCGTTAGTGTCTAGTCGTGGTAGTGTTTGTGTTTGTCTTCATAGGATTTAACATTAATTTGTATTTGATGCTCAATTTCTCAGGCTAGTTTCCATGTTGAATCCTTTTCCTGGAATGAAGCATCTTGATGTGGCTGGTGGAACAGGTCTGCTTCCTTTATACGCATCTTTAAACTCTAACGGTTTCTGAAGAATATAAAACGTTCTTATGAGTGGGGCGATTGAAATTATTGTAGTAGTATTAGTAGTTAGATAGAAGGACTAATTAATGTATGGTAATTTGAGATACCAACAAATAAGGGTAATATTAGAAAAAGCAATCAATAGTATTTGCACTGCGATCTTACCACTCCAACCGTTTTTGCACTGTGATCCCACCGTTCCCACCAAAATACGAGTTTTTGCCTTCACAAGATCGCCAAGTCTATCGAAGATCGCAAAATCGTACGATCCTACGAGTGGGATCACAATTTTGACTACCATGATCAATACTATCTTGATACCTTCAAGTGACAAATAATTTGAGATGTGTTAATATTCTAAAAGTGACCGATAATATGAGATGGGAAAGTGTCAAGTTTCTGTATACAATCTTCAAAAGATTGAAATTTGAAAGTAAACTTGGATGAAAGAAGTTAATGACTTATGGACTGGTGAGAGGGATGTAGTTAAATAGGAAATCTGGTGCTGTAAAATTCCTACCATGGGGAGGTCCAGTGAATGATTGGAACCATTTGTGAGGATCTGTTGACTTTTGTTAGCAGTTTTACTTTCCGTCTTCTTCCTAGTCACACGGTCTCTTTTGTAGAGTGAAATTGTAATTTTGTTAATTTAAAAGCTTTCTTCTGCCCACCAGTATTGTCTTAATATGGAAAGAAGTTCAGTGATACTGCTGCTTCATATAAAGCCAATTAGTTACAACTTTTTTTGTGTAAAAAACTACCTTTTTTTTATAAATAATATAAAAACGTATAGGGTTCATAAAAAAAAACTGTATCAAACAGATGAAAACTTCTAAAAGTAATTATTTTGTTTTAGAAAAAAAATGTTTCTTCACAAAAAAATGATAACAAACTCGCTCATAATCATTAATAAGCTTTAGGGTTTTCTTATTGAGCTTAAATTTCTTTATTTTACAGGGGATGTTGCTTTTAGAATCTTGGATAACATAAACAAAGTTAAGCAGAGAGGACTTCCAGACGCTTTTAAAGATTCTCTAGAGTCAGAAACTCAGATGTATGTATGTGATATTAACCCAAACATGTTGAATGTTGGCAAACAGCGGGCCACAGAGAAAGGTAAATGAGAGTGCCTTAGAATGCAACACTTACTTCAAGCTTTCATGAAGGATTTTTGTTTGATTTATCTTCATTTGTGTTAGTATTGAATCGTGATTCTTTCTCTACTTATTATGATAGGTTATGGAGAGGATGGTTCCCTTGTATGGGTGGAGGGGAATGCTGAAAGCTTGAGTTTTCAAAATGATTCAATGGATGGTTACACTATTGCATTTGGAATAAGAAATGTTACACACATCGAAAAAGTTCTTAGCGAAGCTCATAGGTTGGTTTGCATGTTTTTACAAAATTTTATGACATATCAGCTAATTGAAATCAATTAAATTTGTCCTGAATTTACTGTTATATTTATCATTTCTTTAACAGGATATTGAAACCCGGCGGCAGGTTCCTTTGCCTTGAACTAAGCCATGTTAGTCTTCCAATATTTAAAGAACTGTGAGTATCATTTGCTCTATTTTTACATTTGTACATAAAACATAATCGAAGTTTACATGGAACTTTTTCATCTCCTTTTTACCTTCATGCTTAAAATTTCGGGCAAGTAGAGAATATAGTTTATTACGAGGAAAAAAGCAAGAGAATGTGTCTTGGGTGAAGATAAGAACTATATCAGTTATAAAAACTCCTGAAACAGGCATAATCAAGGCGCTAGAGAGTTGTGTGGGAAAAGAGATATCTTTAAAAATAGAGGGATTCCTCGCAACCAAATTTACTCTGAACTACATAAGCTGCACACTGCCATAGAAATAGAATCATAGTTTTCTTCCATACTTGAATTGGATATAACTCTTAATGTTACTCTTTTTTTCTTGCAGGTATGACCTATACTCTTTCTCAGTTATTCCACGCATAGGAGAGATGGTTGCTGGCGATCGAGAGTCCTATCAGTACTTAGTAGAGAGTATCCGGCGTTTCCCTCCACAGGTTATCATTCATCAATCTATTGATAGCTGTTAGTAAGATCACATATACTCATTTTCGGCCCATTTTATTGTGCCAATCACAAATCAAAAATACTGAACATGAAGAAACTTGTCACAATTATTGGCTTTTGATTTAGCAGTGTATTCTATTCTGAGTTATCTTTTTCTGTATTGACTAAAGTTCGAAATTGATGGATTGCAGGAAAAATTTGCATCAATGATTGCTGATGCAGGGTTCCAAAAAGTAGAGTATGAGAATCTAGTTGGAGGAGTGGTTGCCATCCATTCAGGGCTGAAAATCTGATATGATTTTTATGAACTTTAACCTTTACTTATATAATACTCCTTCCGTTTCAAAATGAGTGTCGTTTTAGAGAAAAAATTTATTTTAAAATGAATGTCATTCTCACTTTTCAATATAGTAATGATAGCTATTTTTCTAATTGTAAACTATAATTATTAATGTGCATACTACTTCCAATAAATTAATAAGATTAATTTAGTAAAAGTGCAATGTCTCATGACAATATGATTGCATTCCTTAATTTGTGTGCAAAAACCTTAAACGACAATCATTTTGAAACAAATGGAGTAATTCATACATCTTTTTTAAATGTTTATAAGCAAGTTCATGTATGATGATGCTGGAACTGGTAGAGAGTTTGTGAGAATGTGAAGTGTAGTTAGTTTCTTTCATTAATATATGACTTTTGCAATTCTTTTCCTGAGACTTGAGAGTATTTTTGAAACGGTGATATTTAGTTGAAACAAAAAGAGTAGCTGTACTTATATATATATTTTTTATCAGAAAGTAAGAATTTTATACTGTGATTTTATCACTTGCATTGTTAAATGATGAGACTTTAATAAATTGACGAGGTTATATTTGTGTTGTTGAAGTTGTGTTGGAGCTTCATATTGATAGTAGAACATTTCTTCTTCTTATTATGTCTCTTTTTTACATCTTCTGCAAAAGTTGTTCTCAATTTTCTCCTTTTGGAGAAAAATGTTATCTTATATGGAGTGACCTATCTGAACTTGCACAAGGGGTGCTCTATTTGGGTAGATATTCATGTATGCCGAGATAGTGTACTCCTTTAGAATGTAGCCCCAACATGTGCGCTTAGTTAAGTGGTAATAAGAAACTTTAAATAAATGGTTAGAAATTTGATCACTCATTTTAACGTATGAAGAAATCTATTAAAAAAGGAGTATGTATTGGGTCAAACCAGATGCTCATGAGAATTTTATAAATATAGGGTTAAAAATGACATGGTCATAGATTTATATTAAAAAGAGAATAATACAACACACTTTCTTCTTTTATTTTATTCTATTTTTTGTTTAATTTTATAACACGTTATGGGTACGAAATTCTAACCATCGAGATAATACTGAGGAGAAAGATAAAAAGATGAGTCGATTTAACGTGACACCCCTCATTTTAAACATGGCACCTCCCATAGTTGTTTATTCTCAAAAATGTCTGCGATTGCGAAATTTCCGGTCACGGTTTGTGTGTTAACCGAAAATTTCAAAATTTCCGGATATGATTTATCTGAAATTTCAAAATTTCTGGGGCGATTTTGCAAAAGACATTACATAAATCAGAAATTGCCAAAATTTCTGATAGACAACATAATACCGGAAATTTGAAATTTCTAGAATACTAGAAATTTCGCATACAATTGAAATTTCTGGTATGTCTGCAGATAATTTTTTTGCAGTTGTGTGGTCTTGAGCCGACAACTTCAACTTCTTCTACGGATTCATGTACAGGTTTTACGCAATTCTTCACCACATATGTCGTATGTTTCCTATTGAATTTACACATTTTTATTTGTTTTCCGAAATTAATGAAATTGATAAAGTTTACTAACTTTATGTTGTAATTGACAGATTTTTAAATTTCGATCTGATGTTTTAGAATGGACCCAGTCTATTGATAAAAAGCATGATATTGTTGTTGTCACAGTTCGTTCTGATTCTGCTAATGTAATCCGAGGGAGGAAGGATAAATTAATTATGGGTTGTGAGAGAGGAGGAAATTACAAAAGAAAAATTAAATCTGGAAACACCTCTGATGACATCTATACTATGAAGGTTAAATGTCCCTTTAGGTTGAGATCTATTCTAAGTGGTATCAGTTGGAAGGTGATGGTTAGATGCGGGATGCATAATTATAGACTAGATAAGGACTTGGAAGGCCATGACATATTAAGACGTCTAAAAGATAATGATAAAAATGTTTGTGAAGGACATGACGGAGTACAATGTGGCACCAAAGTACATCATTTCTGCTTTGAAAGACAAAGATCCAGAAAACCTCGCGAGTATTACCTAAGTATATATAGATAGAGCAACATACAAACTGAGCAAGAGAGGTGCAATGACAAAAATGCAAATGTTATTGAGCCTTATTCACCTAAAAAATACATGTGTTAGACTAGCAATAGGGAGAATTTAGATATTGTAGCTGAAATTCTGGTATATTAGACTTCAGATGTTCTATGACATGTTGGGACACATGATCCAATTTAAAACACATAAGCAAAGTATAAGCATACAAAACAATACTGAAAAGCATAAACAACACACATAATTGTTAACCCTGTTCGGAGCAACTCTCATACTCTAGGGGCATACCAAACCAGAGATAAAGTCCACTATAATAGTATCAATTCGAAGCTAAGCACCCCCCCCCCCCCCCCCCCCCCCCCGTTTACAACTTTTCACTTAATCACTACCCATGCTAACTTTCTACCTAATACTCACCTAGGTATGAGGTCCTCCTCAACTCCCTCATCAATCACATAAAGTGATTGGATCAAAACAAGAAGATACACTTCCATGACGAAAAACCAGAAGACACACTTCTATGACAATACTTAGCCAAGACTCTTGACTAAGAACAATACTTAGAGTTTCTTAAAAGCTTCCTCCAAGAACAATATTCACTCTTGCTTCACAACTCTGAGGAGAACAATAATATAGACTATAACTCTATAACATCAGTCCAACTCACAACTGAGTGGAATACACAACCAACTCTCCTAGAAAATGGTACAGACTCAGCCCTAATGATCTACATCTTTGTATTCACGGCTGGTGCCTTTACCTAGGTTACAATGCTTCTATTAATAACCTATCTTCCAACTGAATTTGGGCTTCTAATCACAATATATCAGCTGTTATAAATCTGTAGAAGATTCTGCAACAAAATAGATCTTCAATCATATCTTTTCTATAAAGTCTCCTTATTTAGAAAGTATATTTTCCTCTTGAACTTTGATTGAATCTTCCATACCTACAAAACAACGCCACATAGGATATCATAGTATTTTCTAAAATATTCTGCATCTGTTAAAACATAACAGAATCCAAATGTTCAACTCAGCTCAGACGCGATGTCGTATGACCTTGCATAGAACATCTTATCCGACATGTTGCTCCAGATGTTGAAACATTTCAACTCAACATATTCTTAATAAAATAGGACTTCTTACTCAACCTGTTCTTCATAGCAAGTAATCACATGCTATTTAACATATTGCTGCTATTTTTGTTTTACTAAAATTAATGTCAATCCTAAAAATAGAGAACTAACAGTAGCTGATATCTTCTGGACACATCCTGATTCTATGAAGTTGTTGAATATGTTTCATAGGGTGTTAATTTTTGATTGCACGTACAACACAAATAGGTAATTTTTTATTTCACATCCTGATTCTGTGAAGTTATTGATGTTACTAGTTGTTTATGTGGATTTTAATCGTGCAGGTACCAGATACCACTACGGAGATTGTTGGTGTTACATCAACGAAGTTGACGTTTTCAGTTGCCTTTGCCTACCTGGAACATGTAAGGTAGGATAACTTCACATGGGCATTAGAGAAGCTCAAAGATTTGTTCTATTTAGAGAAATCGCTACCGAATGTTGTGGTGGCGGACCGGGAACTTTCATTAATGAATGTCATGGAATCTGTATTTTCAAATGCAACTCATTTGTTGTGTATATTCCATATTTCAAAAAACATGAGCATGAAATGTAAAAAGTACATGAAATCAGAAAGACAAGAACATGTTATGGACCAATGGAACAATATTATGTATTCAAATACAGAAGATGAGTTTGATGTACACTTCAAGCACTTCGAAAGTGTTTTTGGTGATATTCCATTATTTGTCAAGTATGTGAATGAAACTTGGTTAAAACCTTATAAAGAAAGATGTGTTGCTGCATGGACTAACAAAGTCACTCATTTATGCAACACAATAACAAACAAGTACTCAGATCGTAAAAGTTTAATATTATTATTATTATCCATGTTTATGTTTCGAGAATATTTTGAAACATGTTATTCTATTTATGGTTTTTAGGGTGAAGTCTTCCTATTAAAGACCAATAAACTTGATGACTTCTAGTCGTGGTGATTTATACCGAAATTGGGATGTTGTGAACACCGTGTTAAATTTGCAGCTAGGTTCCATCAGAGTGTCGTTTCAAAAAAGTATCGTTAATATTGAGCATCAGTATAACACCTCATTTTATGCTAAGTTGTACGGTTTTGTCTAAAGAAAATGCATGGAACTCATTGGGAAGGAACTAAAAAGAGTAAAATTTGTTGTTTCAAACAAGGAGAGGTGTGGTTGTTACATTAGAACAACACACGGGTTACCATGTGTGTGTCAGCTTGCCAGTTTCCAAATTTTAGGCACCCCTATTCTTTTGGAATCAATTCATGTATTTTGGATGAAATTGCACATTTCAGAACATAATGTCACTCTTGATAAGAGTAAGTGGAATTTAGAAGAAGAGTGTGAAGAGATATTTCAGTACTTAGGATATTATGGGTCAGGGGGTGTTGAAGAAAAGTAAAACCATTCCATAACTTCAACGTGTCCACTGTCGGGGAAGTACAAGCCAAAGAGAGGAGTTAAGAAGAGTAAAAAGGGTGAGGAGAGTGATGTGCATCGTGATCCTAGCCAGTGGGAATATGCTTCGGCTTCACAGGAGAGTCAGACTACAAAGAGATGGTGCACAAAACCAATTGGAAGTCAATTGTAAACCAAGTCGATTGGTAGGCAATCTTCTACCAAATCTTCAAGAGATGAATACTTGTCACATTTCCCTGCTTTCTTTCATCCATACATTGATGACATTATTGATGTTGAACCAGATGGAAACTGTGGTTTCCGTTGTATTTCATATTTATTAGGATGAAAGGAAGATTCATGGCATTTGGTTCAGAAGTAGTTAGATACTCAAGTCCATCAACATGCTAACTTATTTTCCAAGTTATT